GCGTGGCGGGCGCGCGGCCGACCGGGCACATCTGTGCTTGCAGGGGTGGTGCCCAACGACGGCCAGTTCCCCAACGCGCAGGGGGTGCGGACCAGCTTCCTGTGCACCGGGCCCATGTGCCGCTACGCGGAGGACTTGGAGCCTATGCTGAGGGTCATGGCTGGGCCTGGAGTCAGAAAGTAGGTGGCTCTCAGCTGTGTTTTGGTTATTGCAGCGGGTCCTTTTAATTCGTTCCCCTTTTGACATGATATTTTGTCTAAAAAGTCAGGTCTGTGCAGCCCAGGTTGTTTGTTACTGATTTGTTTTGTCTGATTCAGGCCGCAGCGGGACCTTGCAGGCAGTTTTCCTTCCTGTCCTGGCTTGGTCAGCCATGACCGCCTTGAAGCGAGGCTTGAGGGCAGGAGCACAGCCTGGCTTGTCCTTGCATTGGATGTCAGATATCCCTTCCCTCTTGGGACTGGCCTTTCTTTTGGCTTTTATGCGTGCTCTTTCCTGTTGCTGAACAATTAGTTTTTCATCCTCCACCATGACCATGTGGCTTTTTGGTCTCTTGGTAGTGTTGTGCTCCTGAGAAGCAACTTATGCTGAGAGAGCAGTAAAATGTCCATTTTGACACCCCTCTCTCTTGTCACTGGACTCACAGTGGGAAATAGGCCCTTTCCTTTGCCCCCGTCAAGGCTGGGCAAATGTTACTAGCTGAATGACACGAGGGTCACTCTCGTGTCTGCCAGTCGTTGCTCCCTGCCTTGTCCTAGACAGCCCCTGCAGAGCCCGCGGGGCTCTCGCCGTGGCACTCGTGGGCTCGTGGCTCGCTGAGGGGGATGCAGAGGAGCAGGATAGCGTGCCGGTGCTGCAGTGCCCACCTTGTACCACAGCGTGGCTTGGGCACGTGTCGGTAAGGAGCAAAGCAGAGACGGGGACAGGCCGGGCAGATGGTGCTCCTCACTGTGGCCTCCCTGCTGGCTCCTTGCACTGCACGTGGCTGCTTTCCCTGTTGTTCCTGTCACTTCCCCGTGGCTCCGGTGGCGTGGTACTAACCCTGGCCGTGGCCAAGGTCCGTAACTGCCAGGTGTGTACTGAGAGACCTGCCTTTTTCTATCAGTTCTGACAGCAGAACTAGTGGGGCCTAAAACTGGTTGGCCACGTAGGTGGGTGGACTGCACTGAGATGTCCCATGTGTCTTCAGAGACTCACCTTTCTGCTGTGGTTGTCCTCAGGACACCTCTCTCACATTAACACGCGTGTGAGCAGCTCTGGCAGCCAGTGAGGAACAAGAAACAAATTGCTAAGTGCTGGTGTTCCTTTTGCAGGCTGAAACTGGATGAAAAGGTGTCACTGGAGAAAATTAAGTTTCTCTGCATGGATCATGATGGTGGGTCCATTTTTGTGTCGCCTGTGGAAAAGGAGATCTTGCAGATGCAAAAGAAGGTAGGAAGGAACTGGAATAGGTTATCTAGGCAGCTGGCTATCACTGGGATGAGCATGGGAATAAAGCCTGGGGAGAGCACTTTGAGGAGTCATTTGGGGACAAAGTGATGTGGTCTGTGGCCAGCTCCTGTACATGGCAATGGGCTGGAGGGCTGCTAGCTCTGCTGCTGTCTAGGCAGCCTCAAGTCCCATTTATATTCTAGAAATGGGAAAAATGTGGAAAGATATTTTCTGTTCTTTCTGCCTAACAGCAGAAATGAGGTGAACATTTTGTGAGCAGTTGCAAATGCCCTTGCTAGTAGCAGCCACACGTAGTCCATGTCCTGGAGGAGCAGCAAAAGGTTTTGGCCTAATTTTTGTTGCAGTAGATGCATTTTTGCTTTCTTAACTTTTCCCCTTTTTATTATGGTGACCTCCTGAGGATGCACTGTGTAGTGAAGGGAATGCTGTGTGTTAGTCCACCCGAGACTCCTGTCCGTGTTTAGTCATGCAAAGGAAAAGATCCAGCCATGGATCTGAGCCCTGACTGCTAGTACTGCACTTGGTAGCACAGTGGCTGCACACTAGAGTGCTTTGCTGTGCTGGCATGTGAACGACACTGTTAAGAGGCTTATAAGACCTTCTGTGCTGTTCCTGATGCTGTTCTGGAGCATCCAAATTCCACGTAGCTGGGGGTTGCATGGTGGAGTTCTGGCGGAGCTCGAAGAACACAGCTCCTTAGCATCTGGCACCTTTTCCATTTGATAAATGTGAGGAGAGCTGGCAGGATGTACAAAGGAAGCCTAGTTTGGAGACTCTGGCCTGCAGGCCTTTCTTGTCTCTGGTTTGCATGTACCTGTTGCAAAATGTCCCGTCCTTTTAGAAGTAAACCCTTCCCATTGTTTTCCTTAGGTGGTGGAGCACCTGGAAGGTGAGCTGGGCATCCAAGTTCAGCGTGTGGCCATCCACAAGATGAAGTATTCTTTCCAGATCTGGTCAGCCATGATGTCTTCCTGTGACAGTGATGGGCAGGTGTGTAAGAGAGCGGGACCAAGGTACAGACCCTGTTGTAGCAAAGAGTCAAGTCGATACCAAATCAGCCAGGCAGGCTCTTAACCCGTGTGCTGTGTGTCTCAGGCTAAGACCATGTTGCAGGTTGAGGTTAATAGGATTACTATGAGTTAGGAGACTGAGACTGAAACAGTGGATTAAGAATGCTTTACCAGCAGGCCTGTGTGGAGCAGAAAGCACTTTTTATTATTATTGTTTTTATTGTGCTATGATTTTGCGAGGTTAGTTGTTGTGTACCAGCTTGATTCCCTTCAATTTTTAGCTCCCATGCCATGCTCTGTGCATATATGGAAGTATTTCGTAGCAAAAATGAACTGGGTGTAAACTTAGTGTGTTTTTGCCATGTGGACAGCAGTGACAAAGCAACCGCACTTTCTAAGGAACTGTATCACAGGAGGGCATGTCTGGTCCCTTCTATCTCCTTTTACCTGATTTTTGGAGTCATGTAACAATAGTAGATACCCCAGGAAACATCCAGGGCATTTCTCATAGCATCGTCTTGGAGAAGAAGCTTTGAAAGGTGCCTGCAAGGTGGACTTTCTTTTCCCAGAGCCGGTCCCCTTCTTGGTATGTCTGGCAGGAGGAGATTCTCCTGCAGCTGCTTTAGATTAGTGCAAGTGTCACGCAAAGATGGTGCTGGACATCTTCTGTCTGTGAATGGGAATAATTTGATCCAGTTTGTGGGGACATTTACTCTCTTATCAGGACATATTGGGGTATTTGAAGAGCCATAGAGTTAGCTGTAGTTACGGTCCACTCTTCAGTGTTGTGGGCTAACCATGCTGGGCTCTTGCTGAGTGAGGGATGTGTGATTGCAGGAGGCACAGCTCTTCACAGACCTGCTTGGGGACCATGGGAAGCCAGTGTGGCCACTGTGGGAACTGATCAAGTGGCTCGTGGGCATGTCTACCCATACCTTCCCAGCCATTGGTGAGTCTGCAAGGAGCTAAGTGGCACCCGGAGGTGGTGGTAGGGCTGGGTGAATTGTTGAATGAATGCTCTAATCTCCACTTTTTTTTCAGAGAGAACAAAACAAAAAAGTGCCCCTCCATTGCCACCTGAAGGGTTCCAGAGTTCATGCTGGGCAGCCTCAAAATGTTTTTAAGTAGTGGCATGATCTCTTTAAGCCCTAGGAAGGTGCATGCCCTAGGGAGAGGGGCAG